AAGCAATGATATTCATTAAGAGTATGACATGCTATGCTCAATGTTAGGATTAAAGCATTTATTGTTATAACAAAGGTGCCCAGGTTCATCATTCATTCTACCAAGGGTATAGAAAGAAAGAACAACCGAATAGTTCCATCATGAGGGACTCTAGGCTTTCAAGACTCTCTGCAGGTGTACAAGCTGCATACCACACGGAAAATGGCATTTTGAATCCTCCATATCTCGTGGGTACCGTTTTGGAGATAAGGTTGCCTCAAGTCTCTAACCTTTCCCTAATCTAGCCCGAGTGTCAAAAAGGTTCGTTCAAGGTTCCCGGTCAATGTCCTGACATTCCCGATCGATGCCACCCCTTGCCGTTTCACGTATAAACAAGTCGCAATTAGTTACTTGGCTTGTGGACCCCATCCACGACATGTGGTCTCAGACGTTGGTTACTCGCACTTATGTATCCCAATACACGGTCCTTACTACTCCACAAGCTATGTCACTAAGATCCCACACTCACGACGACCTACCCCCTTGCATGAGCAAGATATCCAAGTTATCATCAAGATTATCATATTAGGATATTATCCCTAGCTAGATTAGTAAGATGAGTCAAGTTGTACCCTCATTGGTTTTAATAGTTAATTATTTAGGTGTGTAGCATACTACATGCACGTGTGTATGAGTTTCCTTCTCATGCTCGACTTTCTACCGCGGTGCACAAGCAACTAAGCAATAAGCATTAAGCGTGCCCCATTCCCCACTATGTAGATGAGAGGCTTCTAATGATTAAAGAGTTACTCTAAGTGTTATGTGAAAGAGTTCATTATCCAACTCTACATGCAATGCATACCTCATAATGTGACTTGATAAGTATCAAAAGTAGGGTCCATAATAGTGGGGTGCACCTTTTGATGGTGTCAGCCGATCTAGCATCTCGAGAAATGCACGATGGCAACTTATACACGTTCTTTACTTGAGAGACGATCCTAAAAGGATATGAGAGGGTCAACTAAGAGATACATCGATGATCGGAATGATGAGGAGGAACATGGGTGGATAGGATCAGAGTTACTACTTTTGGACTAAGAGAGACATCTAACCCGTAGCTCTATTAATATATTGGGTATGACTAAGCTCCTTGGTTGTTGGTTGGTTACTTGGGTAGGTTGCTTACGCTAGCTCATTCTTCTCATGTTGATCGGCTGACGCTCCCGTGGAGTTCACGGAGACCTCGATATGTTCTCGGGACTTAGGTAGTTCTAGGGCTCTCTACCCACATTGATAGCCCGATCACCGACGGACTCTCCAAAGACAAACCCAGGTGC